CCGCTGGCACTGGGAAGGTCTGCGGCCCCATGAAGGCAAAGGGGGGCGAGCTTGCCTCGAGCGACCTCCTCTTCGGGGTCGCGGCGCGGAGATCTGGAGAGGCGGGCCCTGTGGCCAGGGTCAACGGCGCCCTGGGAGCGGCAGGGCCCCCGGCGCTCTGCGGGGCCATCCGGCGTGAACCGCAGAGGCGGTCTGCCCGCGTCGACGCCGAAGCCTTCGCCGAGCTCGGCCGCGACGACACGGGCGCGCCGCGGAGCACGACGCTCCGCGGCAAGCGCAGGATCGGATTCGGGCGCCTCGAGGACCACGAGTGCCTCTGGGAGATGCTCGCGCCCCTCCACGCGCCGCGCATGTCGCGTCAGCGCGACGTCCTCGGAGCTTGGATTGTCCAGCTTCTGAAGGCCGCGCAGTAGTCTGCACGCGCGAACGGCTCCTGGAGGCCGGCCCAGCCGATCACGGGGCCCTCTGGCCTTCGGCCCAGAGCGGGCCAGGCGGCGAGCAGCTTCGCGCGCCCCGCTGAGTTCGCGGCCTCGATCGCCCACTTGCGGGAGACAGCGGCACTCGAGGCCGCCGTCGAGAGAGGGGGCCGAGGCGCCGCCAAGAACCGCGCCAGCAAGGACAGCGCCCGGGACAATAAGTCGAAAAAGCGGACCAACAAGAAGGAGCAGGGCGGCGGCGGCGGCGGCGGCGGGGAGGGCAGGGCGAGCCATCGTCTCCAGACGGGCCCGACAGCTCATTGGAACGCCGAGGGAGGCCAGCTCGGGAGGCGGGCCCTCGACGCCATCACCTACGACTCCGACTTCGCAGGCCGCCGTCGATTCGGTGATCGGCGTTTTTTGTTTGGAGTTGGCCTGCCGACCTCGTTCTGCGCCGCCCTCGCGGCGGGGGCCCACATACTCGCCCCGGCGGGGCATCTTGCCCCCCGGCCCTGTCAAGAGCTGCCCATGCCAAGCGGGCTCCCCCACGAGCAGCGCGGAGCCTCTCACCCTCGCCGCAGACGACCTCGGCGCCCCGTCCAGCGGCGCGACGACCTTGCTCCAGGAGCCAGTCGCGCCGCCAGGGCACGGCTTCATCTCCCGCGCGCCCCGCGTCTTTGACTTCGCGCCAAGTCTCCTTCCCAGCCAGCTGCTTTTCCACGCGCACGCGCGCGGGCCGCTGGGCCGCGGCTGCAGCGCGTGCGCGGGGTGCTCGGCGTCAACGGCCCGCGCGCTTGGAAAGCCCCCTTCCGCGCGCGGGCGCCCCCGTTCGCGCGGGCCCCTTCGGCGCGGAGATAAGGTCGACCGCGGGTCGCGGGTGGTCATTGACGGGCGCGGCCGCAACGCATTCGAGAAGTCTCTGGGCGAGGTCCTCCGCGAGTGCGCTTTTGCCGCGGGGCCCCCCGGCAGTCGCCGCGCCAATCTCGAGCGTCGCGCCACCCTGCCCCGCGCCTCGCCGTTAGCCGACCCGCTCCCCCCGAAGGGCGGCCCCTTTGTAAATTTCCACGGGCGACGCATGGGAGGGCCCAGGACGCCACCTCTGGCTTTGACCTCAGGGCCAGCGAGCTGCTGGAGCAGAGGGCCCCCCACGAGGCGGGCCCCCGAAGTTGGCGCGGCCATGACGGGATCGCAGCCGCGGGGGGCCAGGAGGCCTCGGAGGGGGCCCAAATAGCGCATCAGCACTGTCTGCGATCCGCAGGGCGTCTCCGTGACGGGGGGGGGTTAGCCCTCTTATGTTCGGGCCCCCCCTCGGACCGAATCGCGAAAGGCTTCTGCCCAGGCGACCGCGCCGTCGCTGGCCTCCGCGGCGGCCCCGGCGCCCAGGGCCCGATGCGCATGCGACGAGCAGCTCTTCAGCGGGTCTGACAGGTCTGACAGGAGCACCAATTACCCGATCGCGCGGGCGTCAAGAGAGGGGGGGGGCGACCCTGGGCCGACCCGGCGGAGTCGCGCGAGGGGGGTCTTCACCGCGTCTCGCTGCGGGCGGGGGGGTGGCGAAGGTCAAGCAGCTCGGGGCGATCGCCGCGCGCGCGCCATCCTCGTCGCGGCCGCTTCGGTTGCTCTTATGAGGAGGCTGGTCGGACGCTGCGTGCACCATCTGGGCGTGCTCCACTCACGGCTTCGCGCGCCCGGCGCGGGCCCCGCGGCGCGCGCCCGCTGCCTAATCCAGCGATCGACGAGCTGATGGGGCTAGTCCTCCTCTTCCCGTTTTTCAGGAGCTCGCTCGACTCCACAGCGGCGGAACAGGTCTTCGCCTCGGGCGCCACCCTCTCCGTCGGCGGGGTCGCGCCGGCCCCGCTCGACGCGGAGGGGCGGCCAGGCTCTGGGCGCGGGCGCCTCGACGGACAGGCGCCGCGAGGCTCAAACCGTCTGGGCCCCCTGACCCCGACGAGTCTCTCGAGGTTCTGAGGGCGTGGTCCAGGCGGACCCTTTGCCCCGCTCGTGGGTGGAGTCCAAACAGTTCACCACCCTGCTGCGCCATAGTTTCCTGGGCCGACGCCATATCAATGCGCAGGAAGCCGTCGCCCTTTGATCGCCAGTCAAGCGCGCGGCCAAGGGCCCAATCCTGCATGGCAAACGTATCCTGGCGCGCACAGGTCGCGCGCGGCGCTGCCGTCCGAGGGTGATCGCCTAGCGGGGTCCATCACTGGATATTCGTTATGACTCCCGTTTTTGCCGTTCGCAGGGCGCCCCTTCCTCTCGATTTTGGGCGCGGCGCGCCCACCGCCGTGCAGATGGCCCAACGAGAGGTGCCGAGATGCGCAAGGCAGAACCGCGTCGTCCCGAGGTGGTGGAGTAGATTGCCGCCGTCGAGACGCTCGAAAGCAGGGCCGCGAGCGCTTACCGCCCTGCCACTGGCCGCCGATTGCCTTTCTTCCGCGACGCCCTCAGCTGGCCGAAGGCCCTCCTCAGCGCAGCCCTGGAGCGCCGCGGCTGGATCGCCATCGGCCGCGATGCATGGCCCTCTCGAGGACCTCGCGGTCCCCGACGCGATCGCCCAGGAAATCGAGCTCATCGTGAGGATCGGGCCGATGGCGGCCGCCCTGAGCCCCCCCTACGGGACTCTCTCGCGGCCCAAGATTTCGCGCTAGCGGCCCTCTCGGACTCGTCAGCGGCCGCGGGGGCCGCAGCAGTGCCCCGTGGAGATCCTGGGCAACGTGTGCGTGGATGCTGGGCTGGATCTCGCGAAGGCTCTCGACCGCGCGGGCGCCTCGCGGGCGCGGGGGCAGCCTCGGCGACCTCTTCGGCGGGCGCTTCCGGCTTCAGGAGCTCCAGGCGGCCCCCGGCGCGGGGCCCCTTTACGAGTGCGTCAGTGGCTCGCGCGAGACCGCCAGTTGGAAAAGGCGCTGGGCGTTCCTGGCAAGGCGATGCGACCGCAGCCACCAGCGCCTCGTCCTGGAGGGCGGCATCGCGTGCGAGGACGGCGTCTGGCGGCGTCTGACGGAGGTGGCGGCCGAGAATTCCATCGAGTGGCGCGGCGAGGTGTCGGAGCAGCTCCACGCGCGCTGCCGCTCGCCGCGCTGCCGATTCTCTTGGGGGTCTTCTGCAGCTGAGTCAGATTCCCAGGGAGGGCCCGCCCGCGCGCCTCGGCGCAGTCTCACAGCGCGCGGCCTCGCCGGCCGGGCGGGGCCTCCGAGCGACAGTCAAGCCGGCCGCTGCCCGTCGGTATATCATCGCGCTCGACGAGCGGAGCCTGTGGCCCCAGAGTCGACGGCCGCCCCGCCCCGACGACGTCGCACGGGACATCGAGCTGCTCAACGCCACCCTCGTTGCCTACACTCAGTGGCCCTACGATGTGGCGGCGCCATGCTCTTCGGGATCCGGAGCCTTCGTTGGCGCTCAGTTCCGCTTGTCCCAAAGCCGCGGCCAGCTGCGCCCTGTCTGGGCCGCAGTGGCTCGCTGGCGCATTTTCGAGCCAGACGAGACGCGCGCGCCCGCGCCTTTCGAAGCGCTTCTGGCCCCGGCCGTGGCTTCCCAATCGCGGGGGCGGGGCAGGACAGCAGCGCGCCTGCTCTTCGCCTTCCACTCGCTGTTGCGGCCCAGCGAGGTCGCAAATGCCCCCGGGCAGCATTTCGCTTCGCCGGGGGACTCGGGAGGCGACGTCAACGTGGGCGCGCTCGCGCTGCTCTCTGGCCGCCCTTTGGCCAGCTTCTCCTTGCAAACTTCACTTGGGGTGCTTTTGGAAAGCGCACGTTCGAGATCAGGTTGACGACGATGGTGATGTTGATGACGATGGTGGCGATGACGGTGACGATAACGATGACGATGACGATAATGATGGCGGTGGTGATGATGAAGACGATGGCTGTCGCTGCTTCCGATGTTGCTGACGATGATGATGTTGATGATGATGTGGATGCTGATGCGAATGATAACGATGAGGCTGGCGATGGTGAAGGTGATGAAGACACGCGGAGGGCAGAGGCAGGGACGGGAAGAGGGGGCACTGGGAGGGAAGGAAACACGGGGCGTTGTCTTTAAACGAGGACCCGACACCACAGGATGGTTGAGAAAAGCGGTGCAATTTTTTAGATGTTGCAGCAAAGTGGAATCTGTATGCTGTGTGACAGGAATGCTTGGGGGGGGCACAGGCCCTGATCGAAAGGGGTTGAAAGAAGAAGCCTGGACCACCTCCACTTAGAAAGCTGGCGAGATCCAGGGTTGTTTGCAATCGACCCCTTCGGTTACACCGAGTCACACCAGCCGCCTGAATCAGGACAGTGTGTTGGGACCCGTGTGCCTAATGGGAATTATTGTTGTTGGGTCGACTGGCCTACTCGCCTTGACACGTGGTTTGCGCCCGCGATGCCAGTGCATGTTTTTGTCCGCGGATGTTTTTGCGTGTTCCGTTGACGCGGTGTTTCTTGTACACATGCGACGGGGTCTTTCTCGTTCGAAGGCGTTTTCAAAGCAGCTTGGCTGCCCGTTGCGATTAATACGTTTGTATTTCTTACATGTTTAATCGCGAATGTGGTGTCAAATCGCTGGCGGATTACACTGGTGTGAGTGGAACATGTGGTCCGTAGTCTTTGGCTCATTGTTTTCTCTTTGTCCGCGGCACAATGCGTTGTCAATATTGCTGCCCCCTAGTGCGCTCATCAATTTAACTTTGCGAGGGAATGCCACGGGGCTCGCCAGGGCGTGAGCCACTGCCCGCTGAGCGCGTCGCCGCTGCGACGCCGACGGCGCGCGACGGCGCGAACACACTGCCAGTGCCGGTGTCGTGGTCTGGCCACAGTGGCGCCGCAGGCCCCGCCGACGAGGCGGCGGCACCGGCAGGCCCCAACGAGGCCGCAGGGCTGCCCAGTGCGGGCTCGGATGGCACGCCGAGGAAGGCCTCGTTGGGCTGGGCGCGCCCAGTCCGTTGCCCTAAGGCGGTGAGCTCCCAAGGGCCCGTGGCCTCTGCGTCAATGTCTGTCGAGGGCCGCGTGCCAATGACTCCGCCAGCGGCGGCGCGGCGACGGACGGCGAAGCAGAGCTGCAGCCGCAGCCCTGGCAGCAGGAGCACGAGCTCGGGCCCCGCCAGTGTCGGCCGCGGGCTCGGGAGCACGGCGGAACGCCAGAGCGCCAGGACGAGCCCCAGCACTGGCGAGCATGCGGGATACCCTGTCGGAGACCCGCCGCTGCCAGAGGGCGACGAGGAGACCCAGGAAACACTGCGCGCTGTGCCGCGCTCGCGAAAGCTCTTCGTGGGCGGCATCCCCCAGGGCATGGACAGGGACGGGCTGGCAGCCTTCCTGCGCGGTTTCGGCGCCGTCGAGCGCGCGTGGCTCCAGCGGCACCGGCGGGACAAGCAGAGAAACCACCGTGGGTTTGGCTTCGTGCTGTTCAGGGATGCGCTCGCGGTCGAGCAACTCCTTGGCGGCAGCTTCTCGAGGCATCTGACGCTGCAGGATGGCACCCAGATCGAAGTGAAAGCGGCGCTCGACGGCCCGCTTGAGACAACTGCGGCGCGGCCGAGCCCGCGCACAGGCGAGGCCACGCCACCTGCGTCTGGACTGAGCAGTCCGCGCCTCGCCTCGCAGGCCGACGAAGAGGTGAAGGCTCGCACCCCGGTTGGTGCGCTCGAGCAGCCACATGCGGATCCGACGCCGGCGGCTTCCACGGCGGCCCCACCCCAGCCGCTCCGGGGCGCCTGCGTGGGCGGGCCCCTGCTGGACCTGGCGGGGCGCCGCGGGCCTGAAGGCCTGGCGGCCCCCCATGCAGGCGCACACGCCGAGGCCTTCCGAGCCGCGCTGGCCGCGGTGCTGGTCCAGGCCATGCCCGACCACTACGAGGAGTGACCCCCGGAGCTGGCGGCTCCCTCGCAGCGGGCGGCCGAGAGCCAGGCACGCCTTCTGCCCTCTTCTGAGCCGGCAGGTGGCGGGGGTTCAGCGCACTCGGCGCAGGCGGGGCTCAGCCAGAGCGCCAGATCCTGCAGGATCGCGCGCAGCGGGATTTTCGCTGAGCCGGGCTGGGGAGCCGCTCGCGGCCTTGGAGGTGGACTTGCCTATTGGCCGAGCCAGGTCGGGGAAGCCCCCCAATGATTGCAGCCAAGTTTGTTGTAAATTGGTTGAGCCAGGTTTGTGCTGAGCCAGGTCAGTCCACGCCCGATCTTCTTCATCCCCCGCCCTCCGCAACCTCTCTCAGTCTTGCCTCCTTCGAGCCGGACGCCCGCGACGCAGGCGGCACCTCGGCGGCAAGTGTATAGTCCTCCGCGGCCGGCCTCTGCGCAGGCGGCGCGGACGGAGCCTTTGCCGCAGGCCTGCTCCGGGACGGGGAGGGCAGGACAAAGAGAGAGGACGGGGCTTCCGTCGCTGCCTGCAGGCGGGCGGCGCGTGCGCGGACACCGCGCCAAGTAGGGTCAATGCACACTGCTGTGGCCGACAGGTCGGCCTTTTTCCCTGGGCATCGACGAGGGCTCCAGCACATGCTGTGGCTGGACGTTGTCAGTTTGCAGCGCCACAGCTGGGTGGCTGGACTCTACGCTCGGATCGATCACAGTCAGCCAGGTCCTTTGTTTCGAAGTGCTGTCATCACTTCTAGTAGCTAGGTTAATGATTTTGATCTGCGACCGAGCGCGCTGCGATCTTTGGATCCTGGACGGCGCTCTGAAGACCGCCTGCGGCATGTGGGAATGGTTGTGCGGAGACAGGCATTTGCCAGAAACAGGCCGCTTCACAAGGAAGCAGGAGGGTGATCACGAGGACGAGGAGCAGCAGCAGGCAGATCACGAAACGCTTCCACGGTCGCCGTTCCCCTCCCCCGTACTCGTCCTTGTGGTCCTCATCCTCCTCCTTGTCGACCTCCTCATCTCAGTTACGTCGCTGTGTTCATGCGAGAGGCCAAGCGTGCAGCAGCGAACACAAACAAGCACGGGCGACTGTGGAGCCCAGCTCTGCGGACCTGGCGGCTTTGGGCAAAGCTGCAGAGCCAGGCCCGCGTCCCCCTCGAACCCAGAATGCGCTGCCTGGTTGCGGGTGCGGCTGCGGAGGTTCCCGGGTGCGTGTGCGGGTGTCGACGCCCGCGGCCCAAAATGTGTTTCGGAGGGCACCAACTATACACCAACTTCGATCCTGGCCAGGATCACCCTGGGCCCAGAATCGGTGTAGATGCCTTCTTGCCCAAGGCAGGAGGGCGTATACACCGATCCTGGGCCCAGGGTGATCCTGGCCAGAATCGGTGTTGGTGTATGGTTGGAGCCCTCCTAGTGTTGCTTGGTTGCGAGTGCGACTGCGGGCGCCCGCGGCCAACAACTTGTGGCCAGGGTGCCGTCGTGGATGCGGTTGCGGCTCTGGCTGCGGGGGCCCGCAGCCCAGAATATATCGTCAGGTCGCGTTAGTTATAGGAGGGGAAAAACACACAGACACAAGTAATCGTCGATTCCCAAGAAAATATGGGAAAATAGGGGAAGTGGGGGGGAAGACAACATCCCAGAAAATATGGGGAAATATGGGGAATCCTGTTATTTGCGTGTATCTATTTGTGTGTCCCAGGGCCCCTTTACTAGTGGGCTCACACTGAATAATCTTGCCCTGTTTCGGTCACGGGCGCCCGCGGCCGGAAGTTCGTGGCACGGTCGCGGCTGCGAGCGCCCGCGACCCAAAGCGCAGCGGACGAAACACGGTGTAACATAGATGTTTCGGCCATCAGTCAGGAGGGACAGAAACACACAGACACAATTAATCCTCGATTCCCCCGAAAATATGGGAAAATATGGGATGTGGGGGGAAGACAGAAACCAAGAACATATGGGAAAATCTGGGGCATCTTTTTATTTGTGTGTATTTAGTTGTGTGTCCTTGGGCCCCTTGAATCAGGGACGCTTGTCCCAGGGCGGAAAGTTAAGGTTCCAGCGTGCCACCGTAGGGGTACGCATTTTTCAGCCGCCCTGGGACAGGCGTCCCCGATGGCGGAGGCAAGCTCTTCCGCTAGAACATGTGCTCCCCTGCTGGAGCTCCGGGGCGCCAGGGGCCGTGGGCGGCGCAGAGTGCTCGTTCCCGAGTTGTTCGATCACGTTGGCCAGTCACTCACTCAGACAGTTTGGCGGGCAAGGAGCACACATACACAAGATTGTGGTTCCATGATTCGGGTTGCGTGGCGCCACTCTTGAAACGCCTTAGAGCTTTCCATGAGGCCTCTATCGTTAGGCCTGTTGGCGCCTTTTGAGGCCGATTGCATGTGGCAGTAATGAACTTGCGCCCATCGTGCTCGGCTGACTGCGCTGTGATCACACTGCTGCATAGCGATCACCCGGCGATTGTGACATGATCGCACTGGCTGGTAGTCGGAATCGGCCAGTGTGCCCACCCCACCCCAAGGTTTGATTAGTAGCTGATGTGCAGGCGCAGCCTGCAGCAAGGAGTCAATCCAGGGGGCCAGGGAGGAGGATGAGGATGAGGGGAACCGGAAGATGAGCTATGAAGAGGAGAGGCCACGCTGGCGGCCGGCGGAGTTGGAGAAAGAACGTCTTGGTTGGGCGCCAAGAGCCAGTGCGTCCCTTCTTCTGCCGAGGCGACGCGGATGGCCCGCAAGACTTGCCCTGTCTCCGCCGCTCGCCGACCGCGGGGCCCTGGACTGCTCTCCTATCCTGCTGCTGCCAATCCTCCTCCTTACTCTGGGTTTCTCAATAAGCGTGGGGGTGTACCCCTCCGACGGGGGTCAACCTCGCCTCGTCGTCGCGCCGTGACGGGGGTCGGAGCGCCTTCGGCGCGCGGTGGCTGCCCGCGACGGGGGTCGATGTGGGGCTGTCGGCGGGGGTGACGCCCCCCCGACGCTTATTAAGAAACTCGGAGTAGCTATTTCAGTTCAAGTCGTTTCGACCCAAGCGTACGTTGTACTTCAGCTGAGCCCCGCGCGTGCGCGCGCACGCCGCGTGCGCGCGCACGCAGCGCCCCCATGCGGCGCTGATGCTGCGGCCGCCGGAGGAAGGCTGGAGGTGCACTTGCGGCCATGGCTTCGAGCGAGGTGACTGCTTCTGCACGGAGTGCGGCGCGGAACGCCAGGTGGGAGACCTTTCCAGAGCGGGGACGCCAAGTGCGGGAAATTGGTCCAGGGCTGGAGCGCCGAGTGCGGCGTTCGCTTCCAGGGCGGGAACGCCAAGCTTCCACCTCCCGCCTTCTCCCGCAGGGTCACCGCTGCGGACGGCCGTCGGGCGGCAGAATACGAAGACGCGACGGAGACGAGGCCACACGACCTTGGCCGCTGCGGACAACGATGAGATGACAGACAAAATCCAGTTGCGCTGCCGCGCGGATCCGCGACCACGCTCGGGAGGGTACCTGGGGGAGGAGGAGGGGAGGGGAGTCAGGCTACAGTCGGTGGACAAAATATTGCAAGTTTTTCGAACGCTCTGGGAAGCAGCGTGCTGATTTGAATCAGACTCACTCGACCTCTGAGGACCCCCTCACCCCCGCATTTCAATGTTGACTTGCATAATTTTGTCCTCGGGGACGGGGGGGGCCTCACCGACGCCAACATTGACATCTAGGGGGCAGGGGGGGGGGTGTCGAGGTCTTGACGCAGTCCATGCGCAGCCGCATGCGTCCACGAACAACTCGCATTTTGTTCGTCCACCCACCGACGGAGAAATACGGTTTTTAGTAATTCGGGAAATGCCGACATCCAGTAATCATGCTGATCATCAGCCCGCATCTCTTTCCCTGCCAGACAGCCAACGGGTTGTGAATTATGCGTCCGTGGCGACGAAGATGTGCGGTGGAGCACCAAGAATGCAACACATTTGCGTTGTTTTGTCCTAGGGTCCTAGGGGAAGGCGGCTGCGTCTTCTGGGATTGTCCCGCATTGCGTGCGCCTCGATGGCATGTTGAGCACGTTGTCACAGTTCAGCACTGGTAGTCGTCGCTCCCGCTCAGGACTCATATCATATAGCGTCAGATGTTTCCTCCGCGCATGTGGGAGATTGAAGAGGAAGACGGCGGAAAGCATTGCAGAGTAGGTTGGAGTGTCTTTGCTGGCAGGGAGATGTGCGCGTTCAGTTCTTGTCGCTTCGCTGACTGGGTCGCCCTCCCTCCCGTGTCCAAAGGCGGGCATACCCGAGTTCTGCGACACTGAGTCATGGTGAGTGAGGCCCCTCTCTGTGCCGCTTTTCCCCTTCTTTCTGACGCTGGGTGCCCGTCTGGCGTCCGCAGCCGTACTCTTGTCCCCCTCTTTGCCTCGCCTCCGTGTGTCGTTCGGCCAGAGTTTGGCGCCTACAGGGCGACGTCCCCGCGCTGCTACAGTACACATGGCCTAGCCGTACAGCCGTTGCGGCCGCTCGCTGCGTCGTGTTTCCCACACGCTGGTGCGACTTCTCCACGCTGGCCGCAGTTGCCGCTGCACGTCGCGGCGTGGCGTCTCCACCCGTCGGGATGTCGGCGTCGGTCCTCTGTGCGCAATTCGGGTCATCTTGTCCCTTGCATCACCTCTAATGAAGGTCATTTTGTCCATTGCACGTACACTCGCCTTTGCGGCTTACGCGCCGCTTTGGCCAATTATCTACGGCCTGTACCCCAGTCGTTTATCCCGTTTCTTGACACTTGTCCTGGAGCCGCCAACCAAAAGAAAAAACACAAACAAATATCCTCACCAGGCTACCTGAGCTCGAATGCGTGGCTTCCAGCTCTCCGTTCCTGGTGGCGCACCGCTTTCTGGGTTGCCCGGCAGTGGATGCGCCCTCGCCAGTGTGATGCGTGGTCGCAGGTACAGAGCCGATCAGGCGCTCCTGGCGCGCAGGTCCAAATTCCATCTTTGGCGACTTTCAGCCTCAGATTTGCACGTTGCATCAGCTTCCCTGGGCGTTGCAGACCTCCCAGCCAGTTCCCCCAGCAGCTGCCCTTCAGCCGCCGCTTCTGACCGCTGGCCCGGCCGTCATGCGCGTCGCTCAGTAGCTAATGAGGCTCGCCCGCGCCCCCGACCCCCCTTTCGGCGACAGTTGCACGCGTCTGGCCGCAAAGTATCCTCACCAGGCCGTCCAGAAACGATCGGAGGCTTCCTGCGCGACGTATCGCTGGTTGTCTGCGTCTACAGACAGCTGGTCCTGCTCCCCCCCCGGCCGCTCACGGTGGAAGTCTTCCGCATGTGAGTGATATTTTCTTCTCCTTTTGGGCCTCTCCTCCCCTCCTTTCACGCTGAGCAGTTAGTTTCGTAGTGCCCCTGCTTAGCCATGTCGCTGGAGCGGATTCTCGCCGCCTCGCCGCCGACGGAAAAGTGTCTCCAGACAGCCGCCAGGCAGCTCGCAAGGCAGGGAACGAGGCGAAAAACGCAGCAGCCGACGAGGCTGCAAACAGGGCAGCCAACGCCGCGCCTGCAGGGCCAGCCAAAGCGTCAGCCAACGAGGTAACGAACGAGGCGGCAGACCACGCAGACAGGCAGCCACCAGGCAGCCGAGAAAGTAGCCAACAAGGCGGCAAACCCAGCAGCCAACGAAGCAGCCAACAGGGCAGCCAACGACGCTCCCGCTGAATCAGCCAACAAGGCGGCCAGCGAGGCACCCAATGAGGCAGCCGACCACAGGCACCCAGGCAGCTACCGTGCAGCCCGCAAGGCTATGGACGAGGCGGCAAGCACAGCAGCCAGCGAAGCAGCCAACAGATAGGCCTACCCATGGCCATAGATTTTCACTGGGCTGGTTCAGGGCCTACCTAGACCAATTCAGAAAGACCAAGGCCAACCTTACGAAGGCGGTCTAGGCCAACCCGAGACCTACTGAAGCGCACCCTGAGCCTAGGCCTACCCAGGCCGGCCCTTGGCCTAGGCTTACCCTAGGCCTATCCTAGGCCGCCCCACCTAGGCAAACCTAGGCTTGTCCTACGCGTACCTAAGCATTCGCTATGCGCACGTAGTCCTACTCTTATTCAAGATCCATTGTGGGCCTACCCCAGATGTACCCGGTGGTCGAGGGATGGAGACAAACTCAAGGCAATCTAAAGGCAACCTAAAGACACATTAAAGGCATACTAAAGGCAATTGGAACAAAAACACTATACGCACATCACTGTCACGTAAAAGGAGTTATATAATTCAAGAGTTTCTTTAATGCGAAAATAGTTTGCCTATAGTGTTCTGCCAATTGCCTTCGGTTTGCCTTTAGATTGCCTTTAGTTTGCCTTTAGCGTTTGGTGGCGCAGAGCACCACAACGTCAGCTCGCCCATGGAGCCCCCCCATGAAGCCAGGCCGTGTGGCCGCGGGCAGTGCTCTTTTATATTGATTCCAGGGTTCTCCCGTCAGGCGGGTCGTTTTCAAAATATGGCTCTCGCCCTAGCGCCGCGCACATTCGTTTTCAAAATTTGCAAGGGTTTCACGGATTGACGGCGGGTCATTTTCAAAATGTGGTTCTCGTTTCAGCGCCGCGCACATTCGTAGCAAGAGCTTCACGGATTGAGGGTGGGTCGTTTTAAAAATGTGGTTCTCGCCTAGACGCCGCGCACATTCGTTCTCTGAATTTGCAAAGGGTTTCACTGATTGAGGGCGGCTTCTTTTCAACCTGCGGCTCTCGCTTTAACGCGGCGCACATTTGTTAGATAATGCAAGAGTTTCACGGATTCCCATGATCAACGTACCAGAAATGGTGCTTTGGAAGGTTTCACGACTTTGATGGCGCAACAGTTACGATGATTCATTGGGTTGAGGTCCCAGGAACGGCGTTCTGGTGCGGTTCAGGATTGACAAAACGCAACAGTCAGGTTCATCCGTGGCGTTGGAATGCCGAGAACAATGTTTTGGCATGCTTCAGGGTCTTCAAACGGTTGTTTTCCAACGAGGCAGGTTCTCCCGTGGAAATGAACCGTTGTAGGGGCAGATGAAGAGGGAGCTTGGGGGGAGGGTTTATTCCAACATCGTTGGTGACTCTTGGTTTTACAGTGGTCCTCATCCTACTCCTCTTCCTCCTCTGCCTCCTCCTCCTCCTCCTCCCTCCTCCTCCTCCTCCTCCTCCTCCTCCTCCTCCTCCTCCCTCCTCCTCCTCCTCCTCTCCCTCCTCCTCTTCCTCCCCCTCCTCCTGCTCCTCCTCCTCCTCCTCCTCCTGTTCTTCCTCCCCCTCCTTCGCCTCCTCTTATTCCTCCTCCTTTTCCTCCTCCTCCTCCAACTCCTCCACCTCATCCTGCTCCTCCCCCCTATCCTCCTCGTCCTCCTGCTTTTCTTCCTCCTGCTCCTCCTCCTCCTCTTCTTCATCCCTCCTCTTCCTGCTTTCTTCTTCCTCTTCCTCGTCCTTCTACTCCTCAACCTCATTATCCTCCTTTTCCTCCTCCTCCTCCTATTCCTCCTCGTCCTCCTCGTCCTCCTCCACCTCGTTCTCCTCCCCCCTCCGCTTCTCCCCCCCTCTTTTTCTTCCTTCTCCTCCTCTTTTTCTTCCTCCTCCTCCTCCTCCTCTTTTTCTTCCTCTTCCTCCTCCTCCTCCTCCTCCTCCCCGTTCTCCTCATCTTCGCCTCCTCCCACAATGTCAACACGCCGCCCGAAACCGCCACGCCGTCCTCAAGCCTCCAGACTACTCCGCGCCCCAGCAGAAAACTCAAGACCCTCCAAGTCCTTTCTTCCCTCATCGTCTTGCCCTTCCTCCTCCTCTCCCTCCTTCTCCTCCTCTTTCTCTCCTCCTCCTCCTCCTCCTCCTCCTACCTCCTTCTCCTCTCCTCCTCCTCCTCCTCCTCCTCCTCCTCCTCCTCCTCCTCCTCTCCTCCTCCTCCTCCTCCTCCTTCTCCTCTCCTCCTCCTCCTCCTCCTCCTCCTCCTCCTCCTCCTCCTCCTCCTCCTCCTCTTTCTCCTTCTCATGATTTTCCTCCTCCTCCTCCTCATCCTCCACTGGCCTCCTCCTCATGCTCCCCCTCTGTTTGTCTCCTCCCACAACGTCCGCACTTCTCCCAAAACCGCCGGAGTTGTCCCCTTTTCTCCAGACCACTCCGCACCCCAGCAGCAACCTCCAGACCCATCCCACTCCTCTCACCCCTCACCGTCTTACCCCTCTTCCTCCTTCTTCTCCACCTGCCTTCTCCTCCTCCTCCTCCTTCTCCCCGCTCCTCCTCCTCCTCTTCCTCCTCCCACGTGTCCTCCACTTCTCTTCCTCTACCTCTCTTCCTATGCAACCGCTACTTTCGATCGAACCTCGATCATCCATGCAGGTTCGAACCTCGGTACTCCACCTTCGATCGAATCTGGAACGGATATCCTCGATCCTCCTCGCTGTCATCCTCTCCCGCCCGCCCCCCAACCCCTCCGCACCGTTCAACCTCTAAGTCAGAACTCACCCTGCCAGGGGATGAGAGGGGAAGCGAATGGGCGAGGGGCAAGCAGTGCGGTGCACCGTGCTCGAGCGCACCGGGTGGGCAGTGGCTAACTCGCAGAGGGTAGGCAAGCATGGCGCAGTGGCACAATGGGGGCGATCAAGCAAGGCCAGGGAGGGAGGTGAGCAACGTTGAAATAATGGGGAGGCGGCACACACACACTTTTACTCCCAGGCCGGCTTGCCCAACTCAGTGATGCGGATAGCGGGGCTCGTTGAAGGTTGTTACCACCGAGCCTGTCGATGGGAGGCCGCCGACGAACGGTTGCAAGAGGCGGCACACACACACACACACACATACACACACACACACATACACACACACACACACACACACACACACATGCACGCATTAAGGGCTGCAAGCGCAGTGGCGGATCTCTTCCCTGGAGAAGGAGGTCTCTGCCCTGCTCGCCGAGAACGGGGGGCTCGAGGAGGAGCTGGAGAACGTGCGGGAGCGCCACCTGGAGCTGCTCCAGCTGGGAGGCGGCCCGCCGCACTGCGACGGGCGGGACGGCGGAGCGGCGCCCGCCGCGCTGCGACGCGCTGCGACGGGCGGGGCGATAACCCACGGCCGCTCTGTGGCGCCTGCCGCCGCGCTGCGCCGCGCCGCGACGGACGGTGGCAGAAGCCCTCCAGGCGAGCGGGAGCCCGCGGCCGTTCCGTCGGAGGCGCCGGCGCAGGCGGTGGCCCGGCTCAGGAGGGAGCTCGGGCGCCCGCGGTGCGTGGTCTGCGTCATCGGTGGCACGGCCCTCAGGGATCCTGCCTCGGAGAAGCTGGTGGAGGGCCTTGCGAAGGGCTTGATGGCGGAGCTGGGCCCCGAGGCGGCCTTCGTCACCGGCGGCATGCCCGGCGTGCAGGCCCTCTTCGCGGAGAGCTGCAGTGGCGACCCGCGCCTCTGGAACCTCGTGCCCTTCGGCGACGAGAGCGCCTGCCCTGCGGGCCGCGACGTGCACGCGGGCGAGGACCTGCAGCGCAGGCAGCAGGTTTTCGGCGAGCTGGGCGACGTGTACGTAGCCGTGGAGGGGGGGCAGAGGGTGGCCCTGGAGGCGCGAGCGGCAGCCGCCCGGGGTGCACGGGTCGTCCCGCTCGCCCGCACCGGCGGCGCCAGCTCTGGGCTGTTCGGCTTCCCCGAGGAGGCGCTGCGGAGGCCGCCCGGCGTGGCCGAGGAGTTGTGGTCGCTGCTGGGCGATGCGGGCGCAGAGGCGGAGGCCTCGGCGGCCGCGGCGGTGCAGGTGATCGCCATGCTTTCGGCAGAGGTGGGACAAGGCCAGCGCCGCGGCAAGCCAACGGTCGGCCCCGAGCCAGAGCAGGATCGGGCAGAGAACGACCCGCCAGGCCGCGGCGCCGCGAGAGCTCTGTGGCGAGGGGCCAAGAGAGCGGCCGAAGGGCGAGTTTTTTTCCTGGCGCGGGCCGGCGAGGCAAAGGTCACGCGGCTGCGTCGGGAGCTTGAGCTGAGGCAGGAGCGGCTAAAGACGCAGCGCGCGCAGCTGGAGCAGCAAGGCCGTGCGCTGGACGCGAGAGCCGCAGAGCTCAGGTGGATGCGTGGGGCCATCGCGGATGTGCGATGCCAACTGGGTGCTGAATTGCTCCAGGCGCGGCGCCAGGCCGAGGAGCTGCGGGCCGAGCTGGACGAGCTCCTCGCGAACACATTTTACTCGACCCCTACGCCAGAAGGCATTCGGCGTCTAGGCACGGCTCCTGTTGCTCTGCCTATGCCTATGCCGGAGTCCGCCGTTCGCCGCGCGGGCACCTTCCCCGTCGATCGCAGCTCAGAAATCGTCCAGCGGTCCGCCGCCGAGGTCCTGGCTGCCAAGCAGGCCGCCGCCGATGCGGCGGAGCGTGCTGCCGAGCGGCTTGCGGCAGAGGCTCTTCCGGAGCGTGCCGCCGCCGAGAAGGACGCCGCCGGGGCCTTCGGCGCGGAGGCCTTGGGGCAGCAGCTTGAGCTCGAGGAAGCGGCTCTCGAGGAGGCGCTGCGCCTCGAGGAGCGGCTGCGCGACCAGCTGCGGGAGGCGGAGCTCCAGGAGATCCATGAACGCGCCGCCGACGACTGTCACCTCCGGAAGTTGCACTGGGAGCTCGAGTGGGCCACGCGGAACATGGGGCAGTTTGGACTTTGCGCCCCACGGTCGCGGCGAGGCGGCAGCTGGGTCAGTTCGAGCACTGAGTTGCCTGGAGGTTACTGCGTGGGGTCCCGCCACAGCTAGCGAGTCCAGCATGCTTCAAGCATGTTATCCGCACAGTTGGCCCCTCGACCGCCCGATAACCCATACGTGCCCCTTGTCCACCAGTCGAGCGGCAGCCTTCCGCGACGTGGCGGGTCGCGTGCTCCACCCCTTCATTGTGACCAATTTGAGGCGGTCATCGTCATAGTAATCGCAGTAGTAGCAGCAGAAGTAGCAGTCGTAGTTGTAGTAGCATTAGCATTAGCAGCAAAAGTAACAGTAGTTGCACAAGCAGCAGTGGTAGTAGTAGTAGCAGTAGTAGTAGTAGTAGTAGTAGTAGTAGTAGTAGTAGTAGTAGTAGTAGTAGTAGTAGTAGTAGTAGTAGTAGTAGTAGTAGTAGTAGCAGTAGTAGTAGTAGTAGTAGTAGTAGTAGTAGTAGTAGTAGTAGTAGTAGTAGTAGTAGTAGTAGTAGTGTAGTAGTAGTAGTAGTAGTAGTAGTAGTAGTAGTAGTAGTAGTAGTAGTAGTAGTAGTAGTAGTAGTAGTAGTAGTACTAGTAGTACTAGTAGTATGTAGTACGTAGTAGTAGTAGGAGTAGTAGGAGTCGTAGGTAGTAGGTAGGAGTAGAGTAGGAGTAGTAGTAGTAGTAGTAGTAGTAATAGTAATATAGTAGTAGTAGTAGTAGTAGTAGTAGTAGTAGTAAGTAGCAGGAGTAGTAGAGTAGTAGAGTAGTATAGTTAGTAGTAGTAGTAGTAGTAGTAGTAGTAGTAGTAGTAGTTGTAGTAGTAGTAGTAGTAGTAGTAGTAGTAGTAGTAGTAGTGGTAGTAGTAGTAGTAGTTGTAGTAGTAGTAGTAGTAGTTACTACTACAACACTTTATACTACTACTAGTGTAGTTGTAGGTGTCAGTAGTAGTTGCAGTAGTAGGAGATTAGGATAGTAGTAGTAGTAGTAGTAGTAGTAGTAGTAGTAGTAGTAGTAGTAGTAGTAGCACTAGAAGGAGAAGTAGCAGTAGTATAGGGAGAAGGAGGAGGAGTAGAAGTAGTACTAGTAGTAGCAGTAGTCGTAGACGTAGTCGTAGTCGTACTCATAGTCGTAATGGTAGTAGTGGTAGTAGTGTAGTAGTAGTAGTAGTAGTAGTAGTAGTAGTAGTAGTAGTAGTAGTAGTAGTAGTAGTAGTAGTAGTAGTAGTAGTAGTAGCAGTAGTAGTGTATAGTAGTATCGTAGTAGTAGTATCGTAGAGTAGTAGGATAGTAGTAAGCAGTAGTAGTAGCAATCGTAGTAGTAGTAGTAGTAGAAGAAGAAGGAAGAAGTAGTCGTTTAGTAGTAGTAGCAGTGGTACTGGTAGTACTGGTAGTAGTAGTGAGTAGTAGTAGTAGTAGGAGTAGTTAGTTAGGTAGTAGTAGTAGTAGTAGTAGTAGTAGTAGTAGTAGTAGTAGTAGTAGTAGTTGTAGTAGTAGTAGTAGTAGTAGTAGTAGTAGTAGTAGTAGCTCTGGTAGTAGTAGTAGTATATGTGGTAGTAGTAGTAGTAGTAGTAGTAGTAGTAGGTAGTAGTAGCAGTAGTAGTAGTCGCAGTCGTAGTCGTAGTCGTAGTTGTAGTAGGTCGTAATCGTAGTAGTAGTAGTAGTAGTAGTAGTAGTAGTAGTAGTAGTAGTAGTAGTAGTAGTAGTAGTAGTAGTAGTAGTAGTAGTAGTATTAGTAGTAATAGTAGTAGTAGTAGTAGTAGTAGTAGTAGTAGTAGTAGTAGTAGTAGTAACAGTAGTAGGAGCAGTAATAGGAGTAGTAGTAGTAGTAGTAGTAGTAGTAGTAGTAGTAGTAGCAGCAGCAGCAGTAGTAGTAGTAGTAGTAGTAGACGTCGAAGTAGGAGTCGTAGTAGTCGTCGTAGTAGTAGTAGTCGTCGTGGTAGTTGTAGTAGTCGTAGTCGTAGTCGTAGTAGGAGTACGGTGGGGGCGTTGGGTAAGGAATGTGCGCATGAGCCTATAGACCTTGGACCATTCCTTCTCGGATGAGGTCGGCGGTGATATCCATGGCCAGTCCACGATTGGAGCTACCTCAGTTCTCCTTTCTTAAAGATTAATAGATTATACCCCCCCCGGACTTATCGGTTCCCCCTGGGATAATATGATTTCACACACATAATATATATATATATATATATATATATATTCTGCAAACTCGTCCATCCTAAATATGAAATCATAACATCCCAGCCAAACCGGGTTCCCCCCCTTGGGTTCCCTTGTAAAAAAACACTGTGCGGTGACATGTTTTGCTCTAACATAACACTTTTTCGCGAATCCCTTGCAAAAAAGTGAGACGAAGTGCACACGCGCGCGTCGTCGCGCGTGCATGCCGAAATCCTTCAAACACCTTCGGTGCGGGAAGGATTTCGCAATCGAGCTTCCCAAAAACATACAAAAACACAGGGTTTCGCAACACAGAGTTGCTAAAAAACTTCCGCGAAAGCTCTTGCGAAATCTTAAGAAAACCATGGGTTTTTCAATATTTTCACAGATGGCTACCAAACGGGCTTCGCGCGCGCTCATGTCGAAATCTGTCGAACGCCCTTGCGCATGTACCATCGCGAGGCTCCCCTGCACCAAAATGGGACGAAGTGCAGACGCGCGCGTCGTCGCGCGCGTATGCCGAAAACCTGCAAAACCGATCGGTGTCGGAAGGATTTTAAAATCGTGTGTCCAAAAAACCTACAAACACACAAGGTTTCGCAACACGGATTTTCAACAAAAGCGTGCGCGCGCGCGCTCTTGCGTCGTCGTCGTCGTCGTCGCCGTCCTCCCTTCTCCCGCGTCGTTGTCGTCGTCGTCGCCTACGTCGTCCTCTGTTATTCCTCGTGTTCGTCGTCGTCGTCGTCCTCTTTGGCGTCGTGGTCGTTTCCGTCGTCGTTGTCGCCGTGCTCGTCCTTCCTCCTCCTCCCTCGTCGTCGTCGTCGTCCGTCGTCGGCGTCTTGTCGTCGTCCCTCCTATTTCGTCGCCGTCGTCGTCGTCGTCGTCGTTGTCGTCGTCGTCGTCTTCCCTCCTCCCTCGTCGTTGCCGTCGTCGGCGTCGCCGTCCTTCCTCCTTCTTCGTCGTTCGCGTCGTCGCCGTCCTCCCTCCTCCCTCGTCGTTGTCGTCGTTGTCGCCGTCGTCGTCCTCCCTCCTTCCTCGTTGTCTTCGTTGGCAACGTCGTCGTCGTCTTCGTCGTCGTCGTCTCGTCGTCGTCGTCGACGTCGGCGTCGTCGTCGTCGCCGCCGTCGTCGTCGTCGTCGTCTTCGTCGTCGGCGTCGTTGACGTCGTCGTCGTCGGTGTCGTCGATATCGTCGTCGTCGGCGTCGTCATCGTCGTCGTCGTTGTCATCGTCGTCGTCGTCGACGTCGGTGTCGTCGTCGTCGTCGGTGTCGTCGTCGTCGTCGTCGTTGTCGGCGTCGTCGAAGTCGTTGGAGACGTCGTCGGTGTCGTCGTAGTCGTTGTCGGCGGCGTCGTCATCGTCGTTGTCGCTGTCGTCGTCGGCGTCGCTGTTGTTGCCAAGTGCCATGTGGTAACCACCGTCACGGTCTTAAGAGATTTTGCAAACCAAGTTGCGGGTGGGTGGGTGGGATGTTTGCGCGAGCAGTGGAGTGAACAACTCACTGCGAACAGAAATTAGTTTCCAGACCTTAGATTCCTTATCCAGGGGTTCCTTATTCAATGCCGCCACCGTAGTAGTAGTTGTAGTAGTAGTCGTAGTAGTAGTAGTAGTAGTAGTAGTAGTAGTAGTAGTAGTAGTAGTAGTAGTAGTAGTAGTAGTAGTAGGTAGTGGTAGTAGTAGCAGTAGTAGAAGTAGGAGTAGTAGTAGTAGTAGTAGTAGTAGTAGCAGCAGCAGTAGTAGTAGTAGTTGTAGTAGCAGTAGTAGTGGTAGTCGTAGTAGTAGTAGTAGTAGTAGTAGTAGTAGTAGTAGTAGTAGTAGTAGTAGTCGTAGCCGTAGCCGTAGCCGTAGTAGTAGTAGTAGTAGTAGTAGTAGTAGTAGTAGTAGTAGTAGTAGTAGTAGCAATGGTAGTAGTATTAGTAGTAGTAGTTGTTATTGCTTGTGTTGTTGCAGTAGTACGACTGCAACTGCTATTACCACTAGTATTACGACTACTACGACTACTATTACTACTACTACTGCTACTACTACTACTACTACTACTACTACTCCTACTATGACTACTACTACTACTACTACGACTACTACTACTACTGCTACTACTACTACTACTACTGCTACTACTACCACTACGACTACTACTACTACTACTACTACTACTACTACTACTACTACTACTACTACTTCTACTACTACTACTACTACTACTACTATGAGCTGTAGCACGCCTGTGGCTCGAGGCCAGGGTGAGTAAGAGTGTTCGAGGCCACGTCGAGTAAGAGCGTCACAATCTGGCCCAGCCCAGCCTGTGGATCGTCGCCTGCCCAGCCTGGTAACACGATGGCGCCTCCGAAGAAGATCAATGTGATGTATTACGCAGTGGAGGGGGAGTGCGCAGAGCCCCATACACGGGATTTCAGACATCCGTGCTGCTACAAGCACAATGGCAGCGAGCTCGCCACGAAGCCCTTGGTCCCTTCCAGAGGAGAAGCCCGCCACCATTGCGACCTGCTTGAACCAGACCGCCGCGGTGTACGCCGACAGTCCGTGCATGGGCATCAGGCCGATCACGAAGGAGGTCCGCGAGGGCAACAAAATTCATCTCGCTTCGCGGGGTGTACGTCCAGGGTGTGTAGAATATGTGCGATTAGGGCTTGTTGTGAGCCTTTGGAATGTCTCTTGGGACATCTTGGAGACAGATTGGAGCCTATGGTATTTTGGGCAGTTTGCGGGCGCTGTTAGGCCGTATGGCGCCTTCGGAGGCGGTCTTGGGAGCATTATTGGGCTCTCAGGCCACCTGGGTGGTCTCTTGCCGTCATGGGGCCCATTTGAGCCGTCTTGGAGCTGGCGTGGAGGCCTTTCGGGCCTCCTCCGGGCCCTTTTAA